CACTACACAACTGGTAACTAGTTTCTGACACTCACTTGTCACAGAGAATAAAGGAAGTCAAACAATATTTACATGTTTTAAACAGCCATTCAGATTTTTTTATTATACATTTTAATCTGGACTAAAAATGAGAGCCCAGAAAAGATATCTAGTTTCAGATTCTTTATAGTCGTGTTCTATTGCACTATTGTTTTATTGCATTAAAATGTTAAAGGATATTTTGAATACGGGGATAAAGCTTAAGGAATATTGTGACATGAAAATTAGATATGGAACATGTCTACAGCATTAAGGTGTTTGTTTAACTCAATATATTGTTATATTTTTATCTTTGAACATGGGTTCAATCAAACACATCTCATTCAACTCACCAGCTCTAAGACCTGAAACGGGTCTGTCAGATAAGAGAGATATCCAATGGGAACAGTGCATATTTTGTATGTCTCCTTAGTTAAACACACTTGATTCAGGTCATCAGCTCATTAGAGACTGTAAAACCAAAAATGAGAAAGAGAGAGGAGGCATTGTTGACTACTTTGTTTTTTGTTTTTTTCTTTCTGTTTTTTTGGTCAGGGGGCAAGAATAAATAGTTTAAAACTTTTTTATATAATTAAGTGTACTAAATTAAAATGCTAAATTGACTGCCCTAATTATTACCTTTGAACCCATGTCAAGCCTATGTCAAAGACTACAAAGATTTAGTTCTTACAAAAAACACATGCAACCTTCTTCACAGTTAACCAAAAAAAGAAGTTAACTTTGTAAAGATCATGAGCTCGCTCTCTGTTTCTACGTGTAACCTGTGGTAAACTTTGAGGTTAAAATGAAAATTTTGACATGCAGCCTTTGTGTTTTTGTCACTCATCTCCTAGTTTATGTCTTGATTAGGTCTGTTGACAATCTCATCCCCTAGATCCTGCATTATGCAAATAAATGCCATAAATCTTGCTGTTCTTGTTCTTGCATTTGTCTAAACAAACAGGCATGAAATGCAGATTGAGTGCTGGAGACTAATTGAGGTGAGGTGATTTCCATCATTGTTTTGCTGTCTCGCATTACCATGCCTCATGCATTGAGTGCCCGGTCCCTCTGCGAGCATGTGAGATGAATTCGATCTTAAGATCATTAATGTGCATGACACACGCTGTCTTATTATTGATGAGGGAGAGATAAGGCAAAGACTCCAGGCTTCAGCCAGGAGGTCAGACACAAACAGACTGGAGAATCACGACTGTGACCTCAATTATAATGTGAATCTGAACATTATATCACTTATCCCTAAAATCCACATTGCACATTGATTATCTGATGTGGTGTGTCAGTTTCACATAAGAAGGCTTCCCAAAAGCACTGGCTTGACGTTTGAAGGATGATCCAGAGAAAAGGGACTGCTGGGAGGACCTCAGGAGCTCGGTTTCTGCCCAGGCCTCCTGGTTTGTATGGGCCGCAATTAGAGTTGTCATGGCCTGTCCGGCAGTACCATATTGATCTATGGGCTGTTATCCACTAGACCCAGTCGTCCTGCTTTCTCCCTTTCTATATCTTATCCTCCCACTTTATCTCTCCCCCGACTCCGAGTACAGCCTGTTTTAATTACCATCTCTCTATGGCACCCCCTGCCTGCTATCTGACAGCTGAATCGACAGAATGGAGCCCTGCCTTGTTCATTTTGAAAACAACAAGAAGACCTGGGGCCTCATGACAAAACTTTGCGCAGTAAATGATCTGTACGCACAAACAATCAAGTGCAATCTATGGAGGCACATCTATCTATCTATCTATCTATCTATCTATCTATCTATCAATCTATTAACACATTCATCTTTCTTTCTATCTTTCTGTCTGTCTGTTCATCCATTTATCCATCTTTGTCTATTCTTCTTTACTTCCATCCATCCACCTATCCATATATATTCATCCATCTTTCGATCCATCTTTGTCCATCTATCTTTCTGTTATTTTTGCTATCTTTTCTATCTATATTTCTGTTATTCCATCTTTATGCTTCTTTCCTTCCATCCATCCACCTATCCATATATCCATCCATATTTCTGCCCATCCGTCCATCCTTCTGTCTAGCCATCTTTCTATCTTTCCATCCATTTTCCGTTCCATTTTCCCAGTCTGATTGTTAGATGTACCTATAACACTGTTTTACTCAATATAGGCTACACTCCTGTCAAAAGCAGGAAAAAATAATAATATTTAAATTGCAGACAGGCCATTTATATTACTTGATAGGCCCCAAAGACACATATTTCATTATCGCTCAAACTGGAACATAGGCGCACTTACTGTAATTATGAAAGGCAATATGTTCCCCTGGAGTTATGACTGACATTATGAGTTTAAAATATGTCCTTCCAAAGTTAACACTGAGATCACTGTTTATACCGCAACTTTCTCATGTATCTTTCCCTTGAGGCCACCAGAGAGGTTTATTCACAGTATTATATACCCCTGGGAGATAAAACAGGAGGCATAAGAAGGTTCTTCTATATATGCGGTCAAAAATAAATCTGACATCAAAGAAACATAAGAGCCAAAGAGCATCTGTGGAGAGAGTGCATTTAAAACATCATAACCTGTGCTTAATGCTACAGGTAATGTTACTGTTATGTTAATTTTAAGGTCAAGGTAGTTGTAGCGGCAAGTAAATAAAACATACACTAACATTCCAATGCTAAATGACTGAAGAGCAAACCTCTATGATGAGGCTATTTGTCAAAGAAACCAGTACTGGAACATTGACTCAAGGACAGTCTCTTCTCCTCTTTATAATGTCACACATTAAAGATGGCCAGGAGTTACTTCCTCACCACTTATGATGTACATTTAGTGACAGGCAATAACAAGGTCAGTGTTTTGATGGAACTTTAATTACAGCCAGTGTGCTGGGATTTGATGACCTGAGTATTCAGTGAATAATATTCTCCATTTTGATTACCCAAGGGCCAAGACTAACTTTAACAACAGCTCTTGTGCTAGCACACCATGTGCTGGCTATGAAAGTGCACTGGGATCATTCAAGATTGACTTGAAAGAAATGGACACAGAAAAATGAAGGGTAAAAGAACACCTTATGAAGTATCGGAGAGTGCAGTGGAGGAAAAATGTACAAGAGCAAGTGTGTTCAGGACATTTTTGGCTTCATCTATACCTAGGAAATGTGGAAATGGGGCAATGTTTTACTTTTGTTTGTTTTTTTTGGTAAAAATTGGCTTAAAATATGACCAGGTTTAATGGGATATTCGGGGTTCAGTACAAATTAGGTTTAATCAACAGCATAATGTTGAATAACATAACATTTTATTTCAACTTGCAAGTGAATGAAGCAAATCCATTAACATTAAAATACTGTTACAAAGACATACAAATATTTTAGCGTGAAAATCACTTACTAAACTTTTCTGTGTAAAGTTATATTCAGTTTTGCAAACTTTGTTTCCAAGACAGCATAACCCATAAAAACCCTAAAATAACAGTAAAAATAACGTGAACATCTTTACCTTAACTGTCACCGTCCCACCTGTAGCACGCTTGGCGCTCTTTTTTTGTTGTCCTTTTTCTCTATCAAATCTCTTAGTAATCATCATAAATTCATCATAAATATATCATTTGAAAGCTTAGAAGCCCAAGATTCATCCTGTGAAATTCATTTTGAAATCGGACATTGCGTTACCATGGAAATGGTACTTTAAAATCTTTTGGTGGTCTCCTCCCCCTTAGTGGGCGGTGTCAAGTGTCATATTACAAAATGCATTACGGTCTTTTAGAATCAAACCTTTTTATAATCTTGACAAAAAAAATATCATTGGAAAGGTCTGAGTCTCAGGATTCCATATTTGGTGGTTATTTTGAGATAGAAGTAATATTGAGAGAAATCTAAACATTTGTGACAGAAAAATGCATTAAAAAATTAAATAGAGTTTGGATGGCACCCGGTGGCTGTTTGTGGTATAACGCCTTAAATAAAATCTCACAGGAACCTCAGTTTTTTTCATATCAACTTCAAATTTGGAACATAACTTCTTTAGACATAAGGCTTTAATTTTATACCAATTTTAGAGTAAAAACCTGTTATGTGAAATATTTATTATATATCAAATAAAATAAAATTCTTATAGTGCATTTTCTTTACAGTAAATGTAAACTTCTATAACTTTTTGATACTTAAATGTTTTGAAAACATTCCACTTTTGCAATATTCTGCTGATTTTCTTCTTTAAAAAGAGACCAACCTTAGGTCTGTATTCCAAAATGTTCATAAATTACAACAATTTAAGTTTGGATAGTGCACTTTCATGCCTATTTTAAAAAAATGGGGGGTGACAGTTAAGGGAGCTCAAATAATACACAAGATACAGTTTTTCACGGTAATCAACACTGTGCCACAAAATCTGTCAACTGATCTTAACTGCTAAACCCAGAATATTCTTTTAAAGTATAAAAAAAATATCCCTTACTCTCATCAACCAAAAAAGGTCATTTTTTTTAACCTTGTGCTGAGAACCAAAGGACTCAATGGCTTTTATGACTAATAAAAATATAGGGCCATCCTAATTTTAGAGGCCATTTAGAATGGATTCAAACAATTCGACTGAATGTGACCCTGTGAAAATTAGTAAAAATGTTAGATTTGGGTTGTAAATCTTATCTGTGTCACTTAGTATTTTATGCTTATGGATCTCCAGTGTGCAGTTACGCTGTGAATTCTGCCAGCACCACACTTGATAAATGCCTTTTTATGGAGAGCACAGAAAATGATCAGCATCTGGGAAATTATCCTGAGACTTGGATTAAAAGCTATTTTATCAGGGCGAACAGCGAGTACTCTTCAGTGTGTGCATCAGAAAGGTCATTATATTCACACATGTGACATCTGCCCTCCTCTCATCTGAAATGCTGATTGGACATATCTGACCTCATTATGCTACTGTCCTTCTCTGCCCCCAAAACAAACCCTTAATGGATGTAACCTGGAAGTTTAGCCAACTCACACTGTCACGTTGCGGTCTGGGCAGCTGTCTCCGAAGGTGCCCCCCTGCTCCTTGAAGGTGATGAGGTTCCAAACAGCCACCACGGTGTCTTCAGGCACGTTGAAGTGGAACAGCTCCACGCTGGCAAAAGAGCGGTATGCGTTGAGCTTGCGAGGCGTCCGGGTGAAATAGTCAGTTACAAACAGGCAATCTAGGGAATGGAACAGGGAGAGAGTTGTTTAGATAAAACAACTTAGGTGATCGACTAGAAGCTGGGTGGGAAGAGGGTTGGAGGAATCAGTCTCAATGTGGTTTGGTTGACCTTCCTTCTGAAAGCCCCACCAGTGATTTAATCACACTTGCATGCTTTGGCTTTGATTCAAAAACCCAGACTCTATGCAAAATTAATTTCATTGCAATCCATCAATACAAGGCCAGGGAGGAAGCTGCAAAATGACATTTGCAATCTGCCTTAATGATCCGTGGCTTCCTATAGCTCCATCGTCAGAGAGCCTAATGGCTTCCAATCTCCTCAATGATTTGTGGAGGGAAGCATTTATACTCAACTGCCCAGTTGCTTCCATGATATTCTTGTATTCCCTGTGTGTTCAATGCACAGGTGCAATTGCAGTTTGCTTGCCCCAGATGAATGTTGCCGTTACTAATGAGCATCTTCAGTAAGTGTCTTGACTGCCCTTTCATCATGGTGATAGTCTATGGCTGTCAAGGTCAGTCAAGACGTCCAGTAGATTAATATACTATACACTACATGGCCAAAGGTTTGGGGTCAGTAAGAATTTTTCTGAACGCAATTAATACTGTACTTGTGTTCAGAAGGAATGAATGAATTAAATTGACTTTTACACTGCTACAAAAAAAAAAAAAGATTTAAAATAAATGCTTAATAAATTCTTTTGAACTTTCTGTTCATCAAAGGATCCTGAACAAATGTATCCACATACATTATTTCCACCGAAATAATATTTTTGAAATAAGTCTCATATGCTCACCAAGGCTGCATTTAATTGATAACAAATACAGTACATTAAAACTGTAATATTGTGAATTATTATTACAATTTACAAATAGCTGTTTTCTATTTGAATATATTTTAAAATGTCATTTTATTTTAGTTATGGCAAAGCTGAAATTTTAGCAGGCATTACTTCAGTCTTCAGTGTCACATGATTCTTAAGAAATCATTCTAATATGCTGATCTGGTGCGCAAGAAACATTTATCATTATATTTTGTAACAAATGAGTTTATTGTCTCTTTTAATCAATTTAATGCACCCTTGCTGAATAAAAGTATTCATTTCACCCTAACCAGATTCATTCATTTAAAATCCCCTTTGTTTGCGAGACAGAGTACTTATTAAATTACAAAATAAATATAGAATAACTTTTATCCTGATCCAATCTGATATAATATTATTATATTTAAAAAAAAAAAAAACTTTTTCAACAGAGTAGCTTTACTGAAATGTAAGTACTTAAAATATGAGTAGTTTCTTGACTGTTAAATTACCATTTTAAAGTAACATTGCCATACACATTCAGAGTAATCATGTAATTCAGTCCTGAAAATGAATGCATTTGTTGCCAGACTGAACCTGAACATCCTAAAGCTCCCTGACTGAGGAGATCCCAAATCTCATACCCATCAATACTTTACATTCCCCACAGCTCAGGAGCAGCACTGCAGCGTAAATATCTCTGGAGATAGTTTGTGTGTCATACAGAGAAAATGAGAAGAAATGTACAAAGTTGGGAAGCTGGATGAGTAAAGACAAATGACAGCACCTGTATGTCAGCTCTAGCCGTCTGTTTAATCTCTTTCCCGTCGAACCCTTTGCTTCTGTTATTAACAGACGTAACAAATCAACCGCCTTGACACTTTTATTAAGCTGATGGACTCTCAGAGGTATGACGCCAGTATGGCCTCTTCATCTGTTATCTCAGACAGCACAGTACATCCCACTGATGGGCTTCACGTGCAATCACTTACAGTGCGAATAAAATTACTGAGTGAAATATAGAATATGGACCCACACTATTTGGTATTGTATGAACTGCAACAATGTCCATCCAGGGCTGAAATGTAGCATTTATAACAACTGCCTCACTAGCTTAAATATATTAATGTATCTATCTAAGATGCAAAATTATTCAATGATTTTACAGGAAAGTAAAAAGAAAAATACTGGAAATTATACAGCAAACTGAAACTCTAAATTTGAAATGTGGTTTACTTTCTCAAGCAAGCATTTCTGTCAGACAGAAATCCTACTGGTGGCCCAGTCAGAGGCGGACAGGCTGATTACCCCTCATGTCAATCAGAAACAACGACAATGTCATGTTGTTTGACCGTTACATGAGCTGATGCAATGCAGGTGTGTCAAAATACGTCATCTTGTCTTGTCCACAAAGCAAGCCAAGGATATCCTTGTACTTTGAAAGCAGCAGGATACTAAGGTTCAGAAATTACACCTGTAAACTGTGGGGCGAATTCACTAAACATTTATCTCAGCTTTAACCAACTGCAAACAGCTTAAACAGGTGCAATCTATGCCGGGTTTTTTGGTATGGCGTGTGTATTTAACTAACTCCAGTGTCATTCTATTCAGCACAAACATTCCATCCTTTTTTATACAAATTAGGTTTAAAGCCTTATTCACAAAAACAGTCAACACTATTTGCCTGGCACAATTAACGCTGCTCTAATATATCCCCCGCGGTATTCAGCAACCACAATTTTTCAAAATGAAAATGATACAAAAAGAAAATTTGTCCCAAACCTGTATGACTTTGTTTTCTTTTGTGTCTTTCATTTTGAGTAATGTCTCTGTGTTTCTTTTTTTCTATAAAGTGGAAGTCAATGGTCACCAAAATGGTAAAATTACCAACATTTTTCAAAATATCTTCCTTTGCACTTCACAGAAGAAAGAAAGCCATATAGGTTTAGAATGAAAGAAGGGTGAGTAAATGATGACAATGTTCATTTTTGGAGGGACAATCCCTTTAAAACCAAAGCAGACAGTACACCCTTAAAAATAAAGGTGCTTAAAAGGTTCTTCACAGCGATGCCACAGAAGAACCATTCTTGGTTCCACAAAGAACCATTCAGTCAAAGGTTCTTTAAAGAACCATCTCTTTCTTACCTTTTTATAATCTGAAGAACCTTCTTTCGCCACAAAGAAGCTTTTGTGAAACAGAAAGGTTCTTCAGATGTTAAAGGTTCTTTATGGAACCATTTAGTCAAAAAGGTTATTCTATGGCATCGTGAAGCACCTTTATTTTTAAGAGTGTATGTGCAAATAAACAACACTATCAGTGGGTGTAATTCGTTTTTAGTGAAATTCTCCCTCAGTATGCAGTAAAAACTGCACTTCACTAAGGGAACAATATTTATCTGTTTTAGTACAACATCGCAATATGTTTCAGTGCTAAATGTTTTACCTTGATATTTCCATATAGACATCTGACAGAGATATACCATGTTGCTTACAGTTGGTTTGACGATACACAACCTGCCAAACAGCAGTGCACTCACACACACATTATATTACTGATCGAAGAAGTTTAAAACAGTTAAGTCAGATGACCAGTTCAGTTCATATGTCTGATTCATATTAAGCTCATTTTTGGTCCAGTGTTAATCCAATCCAGCAATACCAAATAGCGTGCATAAACACTTATGCAATAAATCTCACTAAATAATCCTGAATAAGAAAAAAGTTATCTACTCCTACAAGCCCACAATATAAAATTATATATTTATAAAATTAAGAAAAATTAGGCAAAATCTTGATTTTATTTTTTTAAGGGGGAGCATTTTTTTGCTTTTGTATATGCTCCTAATCGCTTCAAAATAGTTTATTATTTGGTATATGTTATATAAATGTAGTATTTATTTTATTAATTTTCAGTGAATACATGTTCATATCAAAGCATGTGGATATAAACATTTCTAAAGCAATTCTGTCCTTCCACAGCACATCTTGTCGTTGCTTTTCTCGCAGAACACAAACTCTGCTTTTAAAACATCATTACTGGCATCTCACTGTTTTTAATCGGTATTTAAATAACTTTGAGGAATCTTTGAAGTACAACAGTTAAAAATGGGCATTAATTAAAAAGAAACAAGAGAAAAGCAAGTGTCCTTTGGAGAAGGGAAAGACTGTTCATGTCTCTGTGTGTCTTTTTCCTTTTTGCCACTGCACAGGCCACAAAAGGTGTTTCACAATGGGCCAGACGAGTAATAAATCACAAACCCTTTTATTACATTTCATGTCAATATTCCCCACACAACAAAGTATACTGCCGCTCAATACGGTTCCCTTCTTTCAATCTAAGCTTCAGATTGAGGAGTATTCAAATTAATATCGCTTTTTTTCTCCCAGTCACGTTACCTCTCCAGCAGTGACGGGGAATCAATAATTAATGATGTCTCTCTCTCTCTCACATATGTAGAGCCCCATATTCCCCACTGTCATTGTTTCTACACATGAGAGGCAGAGATATTGAGGTCAGATTGCTTTTACCGTACGTCTTCATGCAAAACACTAGCCTGAAGAGTTCGATTTGTCTTAAAATATAGAGGCCTTTCAGCAAAATCACTATTTACGTTTGCATCAGAACAAATACATGTCTATATGAGGGCTGCTATACAGTCCACCATACTGGACACTTGAATGAACACTTGACAGCAAATTGACTGTGCGTCTGCAAGTATAGCTCATGTCTTCAGTAGTCTTTAAAAAACTACTAAATTATTGAATTTCACAGGCTTTAGTTTATCATTTGTGTGAGATAGTTCTGCATATGGTAATTAAAAAGAATCCTGATCATCAGAGAGCCCTACCATAGATATCTATGGTTCGTCCAATCATATGCTGCATAATGTTGTGGCATTTTCAATGAAAATTCATTCGTTTGTTACTGTCACTGAAGAGCAGTATCTGAAAAGTTGACTGTTGGTGGATGCATTGACGTATCTGGAGAAGTCGGAAGAGGTATTGACGTACAGATATCTATGTCTGCACAAACGGAATCGCTTCAAAACACAGCATGCACTCAGAATGTGAGTTTAGACCAATAAGATTTCATACACTGGGACGCTGCAGTGAAAAATAAGTGAGCAACAAAATGTTCTGTCACTCACAGCAGTCGTGTCTTATTAGGACACAGTGTGAAGGGGGGGAAAGGTCT